AAAACATGTCATGGCACAAACTACTTGCCAAATAATTACAGTAGTCAAATATTCAAAACGCCTCTTCAACAAAATTTATGACTATGCTTAAGAGCTATAGTCATAAATAATGACTCAACTCTTTTATGTAACCTGAATATTTTAAAAGATGGTATTAAACTTTCTGAAAAATTGCTCCTGCATTTATGTTATAACTATTTTTTAGATAAGATTAATTTACTTTCTCTTTTTTCTCTTTTTACTGAATTGCTCATTTAGTTGTTTTAGAAAAAAAGACATCAGATATATGGGATTTCTGCATAATTGACCATCTGTTTCAATGTAATGATCACAATAGACTGCAACCTGCCAGCATTGGTAACAAATCTTAAGAGATTCACAGGCTTCATTAGCTTCTCCCTTCAGGGACCATGAAACAGTTGAAATCCACAACTGTCAATTTCACAGAAACATCATTTTGAGTTGAAAACTATTTGTCTAAAAAAGAAGGTTTTCCCAGGTTTGTATTTGGAATTTGAAAGCAGTTACTAAGAATTTTCCAGCTGGTTCCTTGAAACCAGGAAACCTAAATTCAAATTCCAGCTCTACCATAATCTGAGTGATTCTGGGCCAGCTCACCACCTCATTTGGCATAACTATAAAATGAGAAGAATTCTCATGAGGGTAAAAAGTGACCAAACTGCTGACTACACACCTAGCACAGGTATGGGCACATTATGGGTCCCAGAAATTTATCTGAATGTGCCCCATATGACATCCAATCCTGTTCTTTTCCCTCAGTAAAGAGTATCCAGCTCCTATCTGGGTGAGTTGGCTCACACCTGTAATCCCAGAGGATTGGGAGGCTGAGACAAGAGGATCACAAATTCAAAGCCAGCCTCAGAAACTTCACAAAGGCTTAAGCAACTTAGCAAAACCCTGTCTCAAAATAAAAAATAATAAGGGCTGGGGATGTAGCTCAGTGGTTAAGCACCCCTGTGTTCAATCCCTAGTACTCCACCCCCCCCCCAAAAAAAAAAGTACATTTCTCTCTATAAAGTTCCATTTATATCCTTACAGCCACGTCCCTTGAGAAAAGGCAGGCCTTCCAAGTTAACTATCTATTCAATCCTTTTAAGAGGGAAATATTCTGTTTCATATGCACTGATATCTCAAAAACTATTTGCATCACTATTCCTCTTGCTAGGAGAATGGGAAAATGAATGGAATCTCTCTGGTGTGAATTTGATTTTAATAACTAACTTTTGTTTCAAAGTTAACTACTGAGAAACTTAAGGCATACTATACAATGATGGCCAAAGGTTTATCCTGCACATATTTTTTTAAAGGTCTTAATTGGTTTATTTATTTTTTTAATTGAAGAGCCAGGCAACACTTTGTCCCACAAAATAGTGCGCCAATGAAGCCTAACATTCTAGAGCTGGAATTCTCTTACAGATCATGTATATATTTTGTTAGATTAAACCTAGATTTTTTTTTTCTATGCTGGGAATAAAACCCAAGGCTTGGGCATGTTAGACAATAGCTCTACCACCAAGTTACAGTCCCACATTTGTTTTTTGGGCTCTTGTAAATGGTATTCGTTTTCAGTTTTCATTTTCTAGTTATTCACTGCTAGTATATAAAAAAATTATTTTTTTACTTTGAGGTCATATGCTATAACTTGCTAGCTTTACTTATTTTCTGGAATTTGTGAAAATTTACTGCAATGTTTTCTAGAACTATGGCATCTGTGAATGGGACAATTTTCAGTATCTATGACTTGTAATTCTTTGCTTGCCTCATTTCAGATTGAACCCAGGGCCTCAAGCATGCTAGGCAAGTATCCTGCACATATTTATTAACTATTTTTTTAAAATTTTTTTAGTTGCCAACAGAACTTTTATTTATAAGTGGTGTTGAGAATTGAACCCAGGGCCTCACATATACTAGTCAAGTACTTTACTGCTGAGTCATCACCCCAGCCCATAACTATTTTTAATCCATTAATGTTGGGTATGCACATAATCATGCTAATATACATATATTAGGGCAATAAAATATACTTATGGGGCTGGGGTTGTGACTCAGTGGTAGAGCACTTGCCTTGCACATGTGAAGTACTCAGTTCAATCCTCAGCACCACATAAAAATAAATAAAGATATGTGTCCATTTACAACTAAAAAAAATTAAACATATACAAACACATACACACGTTTATGAACTTTGATACAGCACATCAAAACACCTTATGTTCATTAGTTTGGAATTTTATCTTGCTAATCAGTGCACTGGAAACTGAAAATATTGAACATGGCTGCTAAAATAGGAGACATTGGAAAAATTGGGAAACAATAAAACATCATGGACTTTGGAGTCAGAAAAAAAAAATGGACTTCCAGGCTTTACCATTTACTATGTGCAATTCTAAAACAGTTCTGAATTTGAAAGCTTTCATTTCCTCTCTATGAAGCAGATATTAATAATAATACTTCCACCTTAAGGATTAAGTAGATTGAAAAAAAAATCATACATCTTGAGCTCAGAATAATGTCATATATAGTGACGAAGAAAACTGTTAATATAAAGAAACCAGAATGGTGTCCTTGATCACAGGAGAGACATTTAAAGCTGTCAGTTAAGTATGTTAACAATCTTACCACTATAGAAATAAGATCCAAGAATAAGTAACAGCTCTGCTTTTTGTTTTCTTTTTTTTTTTTTTTGGTAAGCTACATGACCTTACCCAAGACCCAATCTCTTTATACCTCAGTTTATCATTTAACTGTTAAGCATTAATAATATTAATTACAATTCATTGAGCACTAATCATATGCCAAGCAATCTGATAGGTTTATATACAAAGTCCAGTCCTCACAATATCCTTCAAGGTAGATAACCTTATCTGTACTTTATAGTTAACTGAAAATGAGAGAGGTTAAACTTGTTCAAGGCCACACACTACCATATGGTAGAGCCAAGCTCCACATTCAAGTTTATCTCATTAACCTGCCACCTACCTCAACTAGAGAAGATCAAAGGGAATTGTTCCTTCAAATGCACTTTTGTTTTCCCAAATAAATGAATACTCTTGTTTATTATATATCAGTATTTCTAACATTGCATAGGACATACTTACATTAAAAAAATAATTCTTGGTTTATCTATGATTCAAATTTTTAAATATTTATTGGTGCATAATAATTATACATCATAGTAGAATTCACTGTGACAAATTGGTACAAGCACATGCATAATTTATCAATTTCAGTCCCCAGTACCTTCCCTTCCCCTCCACTCCTCTCTCTTCCCAGTCCCCTTCCTCTACCTTTCTGGTCTCCTTTCTATTTTTATGAGATCCCTTTTCAAAAGTGCTTTTTAACATTGGGCATAGGGGCACTGCTTCTAATCCCAGCTACTTGGGAAGATGAGTCAGGAAGATGGCAAGTTGGAGGCCAGCTTCTTGCAACTTAGGGAGACATTGTCTCAAAATTTCAAAAAAGGGAAAGACAGCCAGTGTGGTTGCTCATGCCTGTGATCCCAATAACTCAGGAGGCTTGAGGCAGGAAAATCAAGTTCAAAATCAGCCTCAACTTAGCAAAGCCCTAAGCAACTTAGCAAGATCCTGTCTCAAAATTAAAAAAAAAAAAAAAATGTAAAAAGGACTGTGAATGTGGCTCAGTTATTAAGTTCCCCTGGGTTCAATATTTGGTACAAAAAAATTAAAATAAAATAAAAAGGGAGGGGGTGGCGGGGGTGGGGGTGGGGATAGTTCAGTGACAAGAGCAAGGATCTAGGTCCAATTGTCAGTACCACTAAAATAAAAATTTAAAAAGTGGGGTTTTTTTTTTAGTTGAAAAGTCCCTTGTAAAAGTAGTTTTATTAGTGTCTCATGTAAATATAAATAGTTTACAAAATGGGTTTGTGATTTAGCCCTTAGTACTTGGAAACCCAAAGAACAAAGAGTTACGCTTTATGTTCTCTTTCACATCTTTTTGGAATTTTGCCTTGACCTCAATTTCGCTTAAATATACTTGACAAACAACTGATTTAAAAAAAAAATCAAACAACAAATTAAAGAAAGGATATCTAGATGTTACCCTATGCCACTCAATGGCAGCTCTTTACACACAGAAATCCAAGGCAACAAAATCCTGTGCTTTTCCTAGAAATGTACACAAAATATTTTCTCGAGCTAAGTTCTCACAAGTACATTTTACAGTTTGATCTCTTGGATAAGCACAACGTGGTCACATAAAAAAGCCCTCATAAACTAGTGCTTTTGCGAGCACTCCTACGTCAAATTCCAGTTCCCGGCAAGCACACATTGGAATTAAATTTCTCAGGTCCTTTTCAAGTTTAGGATGTAAAAGTTAAAGCTCAGCTCCCCCATGTAAACTGCGTAAACTAGTCACACATAGTTAAGTATGATTTTTTTAAAAACATGCCCCCCCCCTTGAAATAACAGCCCAGCTTTTAAAAACTTCTGAGAAATACCACCGTTTCTGGTGTTGATGTTGGAAGTGACAAATGAGAGGTAACACGGGCCTTGGTTGGTGATCGCCTGGAAGACACTCCAATCTCCCCCCACCCTCGCGCCCCTATCCCTTACTTTGGGCCGAGGCCCAGCAACACTCTCACGCCTACAGAGGAATCTGGAGGGTAAAGTCCAGTTGAGATGAAGGGTATTAATTTGCCCAGCCAGATCTTTGACTCTGGGAATCCTGAGCGGCTGAATCTGGGACATCTAAAGCCAACTCATATTCATGAGGAAGAAGAAAAGTCGCCTCGCCCCAGTTTCCCACAGGCTAGATCTCGGAGCGTGGGGAATGTGACTTTCTCCGGTCCTGGGACGTGCCTTTCCCCTTCCCTCTCTCGGTCCCTGAGGCTCTCCCGGAGGACTCCACCCTGCGTGCGTGCGACCGAGGGTTTAGGGAAAGCTGCTCAACCAGTCTGAGCCAATTTAAGCCGACGGGCACGGCCGACCGCAGGAAGGAGAGGCTGAGCATCTGGCCCTTACCTCCGACGGCGAGATCTCAAACACGCCAGCGATCTTCTCGTAGAGCTCACGGATGCTGGAGAAATCCTCCACCCTGCCCGTGGCGCTGCCGTGCGCCAGCTGCGTGTGGAAGACCAGCCTGCGTGCGGGAACCGGGGGATCTGGGAGGCTCCCGACGCCCGCGCCCGCCTGCTCGCCCTCCACCAGCCGAGCGGTCTCCTTGGACTTAGCCTTCTTCTTTCCCCGCAGCCCCAGCGGCATCTTGCCTGGCCGAGGGCGTAGGCGCACCTGCGCTGCCAGTCGCCGGCTCCTTGGCCCAGCGCCGCGGACTTTGCGCTTGGGGCCCCCGGGGCTCCAGGCAGGTAAAAGCCGCCGCTGGACCAATGGCAACGGCGCTTCCGCCTGGCAGTGCCGGGTTAGGGCCCCCTCCTCCCTGTGGAGGAGCAGGCACCTGGACCAGACCAACCGCCCTCCTTCATTCCCTCGGTGTGAATCTGGAGAGAAGGAAAGTTGTGCGCAGTCCCTCAGCCTCTCTCCCGGTTTATGCTTCCTCCGGAAAAACTCGATTTCCGTGAAGGCCTCGGATGCTGACGCTTCCCAACAATACGTCTTAGAATATAAACATGCTGGCATTTCTGTGCTTTTCAGAATTTCTAGTGTTTGCTAGATGATTTGGCCGCTCTCCTTTGGGTCCCTAGGCCTGGGCCTTTGGGGATAGGGATTTAAGTGGAACTCAACCTTCATCTGCTTTCTCAACGCCTTATAGAGTACAGTTAGAAGGGAGAAGTCATATAACCTCGAAATTGGTGACATATTCAGTTCATAATCACACACCTGCAGGCAGGTCTTGGCACCTCTCAGTAGTGCTTTGAACTTTTCCCTGGGCTGGTTTCTCTCTCAAATCATTTGCCCCAACTCTGCCCTTCTCTCTACAGAGGACCTTCCTTTTCTTTCTACAGAGAAAATTGAGACCATTCCTTGTGAGGCATGAGGGACCTCAATTTTCCATCCCTTGTCTGTAAACTCCTCCAAGCTAGGAAGAGATCTTTTCATTTGACCCTTGATGTGATCTCTCCCCTCCTCAAGGAGCTCTATTTTTAATCTACCTATTGTGCTGCTTCTCACCAGTTGGTGCCACAGATGGTCAACATTATTATGTTATTTTCAAGCCGTCCATCCTTGGGGTTCCCTCTGGCTGCGTTTTTCACAGCAAGGCAAAAGAGTCTTGAATTATTAGTTGCATTTCCTCATTTCTTTGCTTTTAGACTCACTGTGATCAGACTTTGCCCCTTGGCTCCACTGAAATTGTACTTACTATGGTCAGTACCTCTTAATCACCAAATACAATGAACTGTTTTCAGTCTTGAACTCTAAATGCATCTGACTGTGTTGACATTTTCATTCTTCTTGAATCCTTTTTTTACTATACATATTTGAAAACCTGTTTTAAAAAAAATTTTATTGGTGCATTATAGTTGTACATAATGTTGAGATTCCTCATTATGTATTTGAACACACACAATGTAACAATAGAATTTGACCAATATCATTCCTCAGTCCCCCACCCTTTTTTATAAGATCTCCCACACACACACACAAACACCTTTATTTTCCTTTTTCTTCTCTAGCTTCTATATATGAAAGAAAATATACAACCCTTGAGTTTATCAGTTTGGTTTATTTCACTTGACATAACGGTTTCCACTTCCATCTATGTTCCTTCAAATGGCATAATTTCATTCTTCTTGATGGCTGAAGCTTCATTGTGTATATATATCACATTTTCTTTATCAATTCATTCATAGACAGACTCCTAGTCTGGTTCCATAGTCTGGCTATTGTGAATTGTGCTTCTATAAACACGGGTATGCATGTGTCATTACAATATACTGATTTTAATTCTTGAGGATAAATATCAAGGAGTAATATAAGGGGGTCATATGGTGGTTCTAGTCCTAGTCTATTTTTTTTTAATTTGTTTGTTTGTTTGGTATCAGGGACTGAACTCAGGGGTACTCAACTACTGAACCACATCCCCAGCCCTATTTTGTATTTTATTAGAGACAGGGTCTCACTGAGTTGCTTAGTGCCTCGAAGTTGCTGAGGCTGGCTTTGAACTCACAATTCTCCTGTCTCAGTCTCTGAAGCCCCTGGGATGTGGGATTACAGGTGTGCGCCACCGTGCCCAACCTAGTCCTAGTCTTTTGAGGAACTTCCATACTGATTTCCATAGTGTTTGTACTAATTTACAGTTCCACCAACAGTTTTCATTTTTCTCTACATCCTCTTCGGCATTTATTCCTTTTTGTATTCTTGCTGGTTGCCACCCTAACTGGAGTGTAGTTCTTGAATTTTGCCTCTCGAAATTTATGCTTCCCTTCCTTTTTGCTCCCTATCCACAACTTTGCTAACTTCTGCTCTCCAGGAAGTGTGTTCACAAGGCTATTTTTCCTTGGCCATCTTCCCCTTTTACTCCACGTGTTCTCTCTGAATGACTGTTTCTACTCAGTTTGGTTTCATAGTGTAGATTTCCAAACTGATACTTCCAGCTCACTCCAAAAGGAAGGGAATGTTCTACAGGAAACACAAATTGAGATTGTACAAAACTGACCTCATCCTTTTTTCCAGAACATATAGTCTTTTTTCCTCTCCTGGCTGAAGTAAACAGAACTTCCATGCACTCAGTGACCCAAGTCAGACATCATGAGTCCTCATGCCACACTTTGTCCTTTTCCCTAATGTCTCACATCAATTCAGCCCTGAAAATGCATGTTTCTCAAATTAGAATTAACAAATATACTTGGGGAAGAGAAAGGAGTCTATAAATTCTTTAGGATAATTTTTTGTTTTATGTTTTTGTGTCTTAAAATAGTGATGTAAATAGTCAGGTGTGGTGGTACTTGCCTATAATCCCAGTGGCTCAGGGACTGAGGCAGGAGGATTGCATGTTTGAGAACAGCCTTCAGCAATTTAGCAAGGCCCTAAGAAACTTAGTAAGACACTGTCTCAAAATAAAAAAATTAAAAAGGACTGAGGGTATAGCTCTGTGGTAAAGTAACAAGTGTCCCCCTTCCCCCACCAAAAAAAAAGCAATATAAACATAATCTGGTTCATCCAATGATTTTGAATCATAACTCATAGGATCTCAAGTCTTGAATTTGCCTTTCAAGCCATGATTGCCATAGCACTAAACAGTATTGCTTAGTCCTGTACTAATGAGAAAAGAGTAAACAACAAAAAAAAAAAAGTAAATGATGCATTCCCATCAAAGCCAAACAACTTCACAATGTATTGTATGGGTTAAAAGCTAAGAGAAGTTTGATTAAAGAAAAGTAGAAGTGAGTCATCATAGAGTACATTATCAACATCTGGGAACATGAGGGAACACAGGAGTTGTTAAATTAAGAAAAACTTCAAAGAGAAGAATGCTTTTGAGCTATGTCAAAAAATATTAAAAGAACAACAGTATTGATATAGGGTATAAAGGTCAGTTTCTATACTCTTTTTCAAATCCCTTTAATTTCTAAATGCTGTTTTTCCTTGCCTAGAAAGTGAAAGTGTTCATCAAGGCCTATATCAAGTCCACTTTTGCTGTATTTTCTTACTTAAGGAACCAACTGTATTGAGCATGATCACAGCAGGAAACAGATTGTAAGGTATTTTGTGATGATTTAATAAAGAGAATAGGCAGGTGGTGGTCAGGATATAACCAGAACATACAGTATAATACCCCAGGGCTATTTCTATCCCAAAGTTCAAGGAGATAAGGGATTAGAAAGTTCTGTAGAGAGAATCACCTTAAAAAGTAAAGTGACATTTGCTTGAAGGAAACATCCATCCATAAATGATCTCCATCTCCTTGGAAAGAACCTGAAGAAAAAAATAGCTTGATCCAGTGTTATCCATAACCGCAGGCAAAAGACGTTCCTATTACGTATCTATATATCAGTACATATGATTGAATAAAATAGACTGACCTTTGTTACTACCTAAAGTAAGTAAATTAAATATAATTAATCAACATTATTGGGTTGGTAGTATACAGCACAGTGTCAGAACACTTGCCTGGAATGTACAAGGCCCTGGGTGTGATCCCCAGCATTGCCCCAAAAAAAAAAAAAAGAAGAAGTGGAAGGGGAAGGGGAAGGGGAAGTAGAATGGGAAGGGGAAGGGGAAGGGGAACTAGGTCTTCACTTTACCTCTAGGCTTATCCTAGATTATCAATATGTAATATTTCTATTTTTTAACATTTGGTATTTCTAACAGCATTAAAGTATCAACTATGAAAACAAACATAAGTAATTTATTTCTGAAATTGTAGAATTAATATAACCTTACATGTCTGCCAAAGACAAAACATGTAGCCATCAAATGAATCATAAGATAAATTTACTAACCTATTTTTCCCAGCAAATATAGCCTCTAATTACAATGTGTAACATTAGGAATTCTGGAACAATACCACATTGATCATCCTCCTTCAGTCTCCCCTCAACCCTGTTATGTATGTATCCAGTAAGCAAATACTTCAGGGAAAATAAACACAGGATTTGTTAAACCATATGCTGTTTTCCTTAGGACTAAAGATAGCAGGTTTCAGAATTCCATGGCAACAATGAAAAACTGACAATGGCAAATGGGGGAGGAAATAACTTTTACCTGAAATTCAGATAAAAAATTTGATAGGAATAACTGGGAATAGAAAACTGGAAAAAGGAAAAGGAAATGAAATGATACCATGTGAAGAATAAAGTTAATAATAAATAGGTAATTATTGAGCTCATTGAGAACCTACTATGTGTCTGGCCCAGTGCTCAGTATTATCTGCATTATCTCATTTATGTACACCTGGAAGAAACATTCTGGCATAGAGTCCGTGTCACTTTGCATCTCCAAGGTTGTGGCCCAATAAATGTGAACAGTAAGCTAATTTAATATAAGTTTTTACCATGACATAAATATGGAAAACTGCGTGAGGTTTAGAGAGTAGCTACAATCAAAAGATCACATGATTTTAATCATTCAAGATCCATATACAAAACTAAAATAGTAACTGGCTCACATGTAAGCCATAGAGGATTCTTTCAGAGTTGGGCAAATGATTTTCTTTATACAAGCCCAAAATAGTTGGTTAAAACAAGTGTGTGTGTGTGTGTGTAGTACTGGAGATTAACCCAGGGATTCTCTACTACCAAGCTACATCCCAGCCCTTTTTATTTTACTTTGAGACAGGATCTCACTAGAGTGCCAAGGCTAGCCTTGAATTTAAGATCCTCCTGATTCAACCTCCCAAGTTGCTGGGATTACAAGCAGGCACCACCACACCTGACCAAAATAAATATTTTAATAAAAATAATAACCTAAAGCTTCTGAAAGTAATCATTGCAATCATTTTTAAAATCAAAACATAGCAATGACAAAAAAGAAATGAAATTTCTTAAGAAAATTTCCCCTTAAGAAAAAAATAAACATCTCATAATAGATGTTTTTAATACTTCTATTACAGATCAAAAATATTGTGTTAGTCAGCTTTTTGTTGTTGTGACC